CGTGTCTTGATCAAAGATCAAATATTAGAATTCAGAACCAAATTGCAAATAAAACTTTTAAACATGTAAATATACATAAACCCACTGTCCCTATATGTTGAACAACAACCTGTACTGCAACAGAGTCTAGCAAATAAACTTATTAGGTCCTACTAATCCCAGATATTGTGGAGAAAGCAAAAGTGCACACCAAATAAAAGCCTGCTTCTGAGGAGGTACTCATCTCTGAGTATGGCTCAAACTACCAGCATGTGCATGTTTTCATTTTGGGGGACTAGGAGTGAATTTTTGTGGAGCCTCTCCAGCTCGACCTATTATGTTTCTTCCATTAATATTTCAAATTGAGTTTAGTGAAATGCGCAGAAAGTGTGACGGCACAGCTTGACCGTGCATTTATCAATCTGGACATATACATAGTATTTGGCTCAAAAACTAAAAATTCACCTTAGTCTCCCCAGTTTCACAACACATCAAGTCCACAGATGGATCTGCTGTCATTTTCTCCCTTGGCTCTTGCATTCTTTTTGTTTTGTGCTCCAAATGGAACTATTCTGTTTGCATTATCTCCCTGTAGCAGGACACCAGCGCGCTCACTATCTTTATGCATACGTGTCCTCGGCATATGTGCACAACTTGCTGCACGCACGTAAATACATCAGACGTGCTAACGAGCACACCCCTCATCTCTCTCCATCGTGCTCTCCGCCTGATGTCAGCGGGGCTTTTTTGAAAGTGAGGGCTGCGATAAGAGGGATGTGGAGAAGAGGGAAGTGCGAGCGTGGAAGAACGATGGGCCCGTGTGTGTGTACGGGAAGCTCATTTGGAGGAAGTGTTTGATGCATTGTGCGAGTGTGTGCTAGGGGAGAAACAGGCTTTTTCTGATGTCCTTGAAAGAACCATAGTTGAGTTCTTAAACCATCGGACTGAGAGCAGTTTAACTGAGGGAGGCTGTAGCTTTTGTACCAGCCAAAGTTAAGAGATTTTACACCCTTTTTACACCTGAATTTCTCCACTGTGTGATCAATAAAGCTCTTATCTTTTTAGAAATCTTTGTTAAACTTTCCTTTTTTTTGGGCACTAATTTGAAATAAATTGATGGCCTCAGAAATCTTCTTCTTGTGGCTCTAAAGAAATTGCTGAATTATCTTTGTGAGAAACTGTGGCTTGTTATTAGAGGCTGTTTGGACAGATGATCATCTCATAAACCAGGTCAACAGTCATTGTACCAAAGGAAATCTGAGGTGGTGTTTTTATATCTTTAGAAAAGAGATTCAGGCATGCCTCCATTGATAGATGGAGGCATGCCTGATAGATGTCTCAATCAAAGGCAAACATAACTTGCCAAGGAGATACCGACTAGGTTGTGATTAGGCAAAAAAGGACCAGTTTAACGTCTGTGGAAATAGAATATAGAAGAAGTTAGCCAACGGACGGTTTAGCCTGGTGTGCCTGATATTCATTAGGTTTGCGTCAACAAAAGCTCAAACTCAAATTTAACTTCTGGTTGTTCAGTCTTGGATTTGATTTCAGCTTGATCTGAATGGCAGAAAACGAAGCAGAGAGAGAAGGAGCCAAGGAATGAATGCCGAGAGACACTAATGCTCAGCAAAGAAAAAGAGTCACCCCAGGAGCATTAATCTAGTCAGCAAAATGGAAATGCCCCATTCCCCCTTCCTATGGCATCTGACAGAAACATTCTAATGTTCCCTGGGCAGACCACACATATTTTCTGTGAAATGTGAGCCTAACGGAGGACACTGACTGGCCTGCCCGGTTAGCTAACGTCCTCCATAAAGAACCGGGGGTCTGGCTAAGAGTGCTGAGGTCATAAAACTCTATTTATGGCGTGCACGGTGACGCTTCCATTCCGCTATTTCCCACCTTCCCTCCATACTCAGCTCACAATCTGATGTCACGCTGGAACATATTTATCGTGTTCTCAGTGTGGTGCTGGAGTGGACATGCTCTCGCGGGCTTTGAATCATAGGAATTCCGGCTGTGTTTGTACAATCCACAGGCTTCCTGTCTGTCTTTTTGCTCTCTCTGGCTTTCTCTTTCTGTCTGCATGTTCATTTCAGCCTCTCTCCTTTTCCCTCACGTTTTTTAGGTCTTCAACTTGTTGCCTCCCTTGCTTCTTTCACCATCTGTCCTCTCCTCTATCCCCGGCCCCTCGTCCTCGTGTCAGAATTTGGGTCATCAGTGCCTTACCTTGTCTCCTCCATTCTCCTCACTTCTTCTCACCTTTCTTCACCTCTTCACACACGCCATCCACAAACTCCTTCTCTCCCTGTCTCCTCTGCTCTCTTATACGCCCGTCTCCGCTTCACTTCCTCCCCCACCTTTCCTCTCTCCTCCCTCCTTTCCTTTTTTTTTTTGTACTACTTATCAACGCTTCATCCTTCTTCACCTCCTGTCCTCCTTTTTTTGTGCTCGCCTCTCATCTCCCCTTTTTCCTCTCGGTGGATCTCGGTGTCTTGGTTTAATTTTTCCCTCGCAGGCTTAACAGATGGTTGGATGAGCTGTCAGTAGTATTGGTGTAAGCCTCGTTGTTGATCAGGTTGGGGATTTGCTTTGTTTCCGAACTCACTCACCGGGTCGCGGTGCAGCGGTTCCCCAGCTGCTGTGTGGTTGGATTATAACGCCCAGATCAAATCTATTAATACCTCTGCATCTCTGTGGTGCACACTCCCCCCCCCCTCACACCGTATCCAACAATACCACGAAGAAAAACGGCTTATCGTAAATCACAATGTCAACCTGAATGCAATGATATTAACATGCGATCAAAATCACATGAGGTTTTTAAGTTGAGGTGGATTTATTTTCCACCTCCCTCTTTCCACTGATATTGATTTATTCAACCTGACCTTTTCCATACCTCAAGAAAAAGCATACTTTTCTGGTACTGAGAGATGTCTTCATAAAAACGGGTTTTAAACCCCGAGCACAAGGCAGTCTTAGGGTGGCGTGTGTATTGTTGGTTTTTCCCGACAGTTGGGGAAAAAGGTTCGGATCTCTGCACTAATGGATGCAGTGTTGGGGATCCGTTTCTGGCTGGAACACAGCTGGATGTCAGGTTCTGTTACACATGCTAACAGTGTGTGATTTTCTTGTTAATACGTTGTCTGAGCTCCTCAGCCAGCAGCCTGTTCACGGCCATCCTCATCCTCGGTGCTCGCAAACCTATTAAATTCGACCAGTCAGGGTAGATTTTGGCCAAAACAAAGCTCTCCCCGTTTCACAAATTAGTTTTGAGTTATGAAGAGTGCAGAGTTAGTCTAGAAGTACCTAGGACTAAGAAATAAATGACAAGAAACGATCCTGCGTATCCTACTTTATCAAATAATCTCTTTGGCCTCATTTCTGTGGTGTTTTATTGTGCATGATGGTCTCCAAACTCATTTCACTGATTTAAGAAGAACTTAAAGACACATCGGGGTTATGAAACAGTTCTTTTCTGTTTCTCCTAATGTACAGTGATAACTAAGGTCAGTTAATGGAATGTTTAACACTGGCCTGGTAAATTAAAAGTTACAGCTGTGCACTTTCCCCTCATACCCATTATGAATTCTTTCAAACACTTATCTCATTCACTTAGCTTTTCTTTCACATTGAGTTTTACTCTCATTCGAGAGCTTTCGCAGTGTTTTACTTTGCACTTGAAATAATATCCAGCACTACAGCAACACAGAAACAACCCTCAGACAACCAGCACGCATCCCGTCCATGGCAAACAACAAGCGGAGCCCATAATGACGGCCATTTGTTGTGGAATGATGTGTATCTGTCAGCTCTCCTTATCGTCACGGCTTGTTTGACCAGGCACAAACAGCTGCTTTTAGCTGAAGAACTGAACCTTGTCAAAAGCGTGCTCAGTCACCTGTCCTCATCAGGGAGTCACATCGAGATGGAAACCATTACCCAATTTGAGACGCGAGCTAACACAACATGACTGGAAGCGACATTAACCCGTGCAGTCGTGACTGTCTCCCTGCTCTTCGAGGGTCACTTGTGAAAGCTGATGTATATTATTTGACAGGTAAACAAAATGTTAATTAGGGCCCTCAGGTGTTGCTCAGTGCCATTCTCTTATACAAATTGATGTAGTAAAAAGTAAATGGATTTAAATGTTATCCATGATCAAAACATTTAGTTTGAATGTTGAATTTAAATCTCTATTTGTAGCAAAAACACATTAGTTTTAAACATTTTAGGCCTGAACCATTTATCTTTCTTTCTTTAAATTCCCTTTTTCAGAATGATTTATCATTTATGTTATATGCAAATAATCCATGGCGTTAAAAAAAAAAACAGGCTACTGTATTTTATGACATTATTACATAGATGTATTTGACAATACGTTCAGTTTTTATTTTTTGCACCACTTACCTTAATCCTGGTTTGACTGACTTCAAATAAAAATTTGAACCTATGTTCAACATTTGTTTGAAGCTCCAAAATTAGATTCAGGAGGGAAAAAATGATGCACCAGATTCTCAAAAACCTGAATTTGGTTTTGTAGCAATCGAAAAAAAGGGTATGATCCTGCAAATACGGCGTGATTGGTTTTGAAATCCACTTTCTGGCTCTGTCGCACCCCACTTCTGACAGTGTGCAGCGTTTGGTAGACTGAAAGCACAAATCCAGGTTATTACAAGTCAGCCTGAAGCTTTTTACATGTTATACACTGTGTGTGTCTCTGTGTGTGTGTGTGTCATCTAGAGAGCCAAAACTGGAATTTGAAGATCATTCCCTGGTAGACTTTTTAAAAATGGATTTATTCATTTTCAAAACATTTTTGATACACTCATCCATGACTAATTTCTTTTAAGAATCTGCAAAGTCTGCCTTTTTTGTCTGAGTAATTCCCATGTGGACTGTATTTACCTGTTTTCAGGGCTTTCGGCGGTATAACACATTATCCTGTTTTCGACATGCTCCGCTTTCTGTTAATCTGTTGGCACCTGGAGGTATCGGTGTCATGTGTAATTTTACCCCCCACCCACCCACCCTGCTGATTTTTCTATAATATTTTCTAAGAAAAATAAGAAAACGGTAACCTTGTGAATAATTACAGGTGTGTGTGTGGGGGGGGTGCGAATTTCTGACAGTCAGGAAATTCTGAAGGTGAATCCCACTGAATTCTGCTGTCAAAACTTTTCAGAGATGGTTTGAGCTGCTTGGTAAACACAGGGAAGTTCTTTTCCCTACAGTGAGAGCCGTTAACCGAATCGATTTGTCACAATGTGCTGCGACGGGAGTGACAAACACTCTAAAATCTAATAGTCTTGCAGTATTGAGGGAGCTCTGGGTGTAGATTTTCTCGTGTTGATACACTTCCCCACAGCAGCAGCTGGCTCGTTTATGAACTGCCGTCATGATCTAATGTCCACGCATCTCAAACTGTCACCTCTAATTGCCGTTTGCAGCTGTCACTCTGCGAGGTTTCGGTCGTTTTAACGTGTAATGTGCTTCTAAAAAAAGGCTTTCTTTTCCTCTCCCCAAAAACAGAGGCCCAGTCCAGCGCTAACATGTTCGACTGCCTGTACCTGGAGCTCTCGGCCTCTCTGGACCACGGCACCAACGAGCTGCTGGAGGCGGCCGTGCGCACGGCCAGGGGGGACTGCGTGGGCCCGGGGTGGACGGACGGCGACCCCGGGGCGGGCCGGCGGGAGAGCCTGACCAGCCGGGCCAAGCGCTTCCTGGCGGGGCTGGTGCCGCGCTCGTACGGGCGCGAGCGCGACCGGGACCGCGGCCGCTACAGGGAGATGAGCCGCCACCGGGGCAGCAAGATCCTCCGGCAGAAGTCCCGCTCCTGCCACGACCTCAGCGCACTGTGACACAGACACACACACACACGCACGCACAAAAAAAACGCTGACACAGGGAAACAGAACACCGCCCACATTAACACTAGCACACACCGAATCGCGAAGAAGAAGCCCAAAGGCTGGATGAAAATGACGGGAAGGGGTCACAGGTGAGTCGAGAAGGTCTCGTGCACGAGAGAATATTCCGGAGGACAGGACAGGAGGTCAAAAGTCAGAGAAAAAAAGCGGCTGAATGGATCCGACAGCCTTGACTGCTCTGAACTCTTCAGCGGAGGCGATTCCGACACAAAGTCGCGGAAACGGAATAACAAGGCTGAATCAGCAAGTTCTCATTACCAGACATCAGGAGGAAGGAAATCAGGAGTCGCATCGTTGTTCTGATGAGAGGGAAAGTGGGGCACAGATAAACACACACCGAGTAGCACGCACTAATAATGTAGAGTCATAGCAATTTAATGTATACTTGTTATAGACCCTGTTTTTTAGCATGCAGAGTAGACGATCCAAGACATGACCCCTGTAGGTTTTGCAGTTAAATGAACTTTGAGTAACAGTACCTCAGTGGCCAATAGCTAATGCACAGTGTCCTCAGTGTTTCAGAGAATGCCGTCTCAACAGAAGAACTTATCTATAAATACGCATCGGCACCACATCCACCGTTTACGTCCCATTCCGGTTTTAAGGATTGTTGATAAAGACCACCAGTGACACACACCGCATTCATCTCTGACTTTTTCTATACGGTGAAATCATCAGCACACAAGCCATATTTGTGCAGAACGCACCCTGAGCAATCAGTACGAGGAACCCTTTACTGCAGGACGTGAAAGGACGAAAGAGGAGGATAGCCGAGAAGTGCACCTCCTTAAATGAAGCTGAGCCATAGACCACAGGGATGTTCTTGAAGAAAAGGAGGACAAACAAACAAACCACAAACAAATCTACCTGTGGCTCTTTGATGTGTTTCTTCTTTCTTTTCGGTCCTTGTTTTTCCTCTATCACCTGCTGGAATTTTTCTGTGTTCTGACTGAATTCTGTGGGGGCTGGCCACGCATGTGACCCATCAGAGACTTCTGTAAGACTTCTCCATTTACCGAGAGAGAGCGTTCTGGAAACGTTGTTGGGCAATCCTTTCGGGCGTGCTGTCATCACTGAGACATCCTCACTTGTTTTTCCACTGGCCACTCTCCTTCCTTACCACTGAGAATAAATACCCTTTTGTTTGACATCTTTACGAGTGTTTTGTCATCTTTTCCTGAACGCTTTGGCACAGCCCTGAACCAGGTTGAGGAATGTCGTGACAGGCTGGCGGATGACTCACAGGGCCTCCAAGGATGCTCGTTCCATTTAGGACTGAGCATCAGAAAGATGCAGCTTCAATGCTGTGAGCCCGGAATGAAATCTTGGGTTGAAAATAGAATGCGTCAGGGCGAATATGAACCATGTGCTTCAGACTTTAAGGTAAGAGACATCTGAGATATGCAAGACTTCTCCATTTATCGATGAAAAAAATAAAACCCGAGTATTCAGCAGACTTGTTCTCTGCTTTATTTATGTTTTCATGCTAGTTTTTCAGAAGTATGGATTTGGAAAAATCAGTTTTCTCACTGGACTTTGAAAAATACATTTTGGGGATATTTTGCCGGTCTTGGATAGATTTGAGAGAATCAGCTTTATTCTAATGAAGACATTTTCCTATTTTGAGTTAATTACCTTGACTATTTATTAGGAAACTGTTATTTATTGTTGTGACTTCTTTAAGCTAAAACTTCACAGTGTTTTGCATACTTGGAAAAGACTTTCTGTGAGTAATGTGTCGGGGTGTTACAGGACTGGAGTTTTTATTAGCTTTTCTTGTGTGCTCAACAGGAAAAAAAACAAGGTGCAGAGGCAGTAATGGAGATAAAGAACTCAAATAGCTTCTTTTTTACTTGTGATACGATCTGACACCGTTTCAGGAACAACTGTGATGGAATTAGCCACACTCACCTCCTTATCAATGTGCCGGTGGTCCTTTCAGGAATAACTCAGTGCGCTTCAATGAAAAGCTTCTATGTGATATTAAGTTTGATCTTCTGGCTCCACGCTTTTCCGTATTACCCTCTTAAACCCTCAGTGGCGATAAACAAACACTAAACTCTGATTTTCAGAGGTACAGTGGTCGACAGATGGATGGGTGGTGACATGTGGACTACATCTACATATTCTGAACAGTCTGTGATGAGCAAACGTGTTTTTGTTTTGTTATAAATTACATTTTCCTTTTAAACAGGGGGGTGAATATTCATATCTGTCACCTGCTTCCATTTCTGCTCCATCCTAACAGGCTAAAAAAGCAAAAACATTGCACCCAGTCACATGAGATGATATCAGACGGATACAGTTTCCAGGTCCTGATACAGGTGGCTGGAGTGGATGTGTTGAAGAACTCTTGAGAGAAGACAAACTGGCAAAGACTTGGAGAGAGAGAGAGAGGGAGAGAGAGACAGACAGAGACTGGGTTGGAGGAAAGCTTTGAGGAGTAATGGTTGCTTGGAGACCGTTGTCAGGGAGACGGTGAGTCCTTTGGCATCTGAAATGTCCTATATTTATGTTGATATTCAGCAGGAGAAGTGTTTTTCTTTGTTTGGATTTGACTTTTTTCTCCCAGTGGGCGAACGAGGAGACTCACAGAGGGGGGACTCTTCCAGCTAGAGTTCAAGTTCAAGCCGTCTGACAGAATGGGAAAGGAAACAGAGGTTTACTTTGATTTTTTATCGTACTTAAACAGGTCAGAACACTGTCAGATATTAGCAGAAACACAGACACCCACAGGGAGGAGAGGGGGGAGCCGGGGACAGCGTGATAGATTTTTTTTCTCCGGCGCCCTATCAGTCTCTCAAAACTGTGACAGATATCCTCCCTCTCTGTGTTTCCCTGTCGCTGACTCATTCTGTGGACGTCTTCTGTGATTTGCCAATAAAAGAATACTTCTTGAGAGCATGGAAGACGGGGGGATCTTAGAGGATGAAACCACCCACTGTGTGCCAGTGAAAGCTTGTTGAACTTACCCCTGACTTTGCACTAAAGAAAGACTATTTTGGGTGGGCGCTGTGGATAACTAATGAGGCATATTTTTTCCTGAGGTTTGGGCGCAAAGACGTGAGCGCGGGGGTAATATTGGTACACCGTTCTGTGGGGGAGGCAGAGATGGGCGCAAACAGGGTGAAGGCAGTGTCAGTGGGTCTCAGGGGGATCCGTGTGATTTGTCTTTAAGCGCTCGCTGTTGCCCAAAAGTCATTGTTCCCCCTGCTTCGTCTAATGAGTGCACAGAGATGATTATACATGCACAGAGCTTTAACAAACCAACAGCAAAAGGGAGGGAGACGGAGCCAAACCACTGTTTGAATATCACCCACGGAGGGAAGCACATGTAATTAAAACTGGCTTGGTCAGAGCAGGGAGACAATAGTGAGCCCCGAGGCCGAGTGATTGTAATGACAGGTTGAAGACGAAATCACAACTCGGCCTCATTAAAGGCTGAATTCTTCCTGCACAGCTCATTGGAACGTTGGAGTCGATATTAATATCTTTTAAATTAGAGCGCTTTTGTCAAAAAGTGAATGTGCGTCATTTGCTCAGACACTATGGGATGCCTTGAGCTGCTCGATCTGTATCCTTAAACTGATCTGTGATATTATAGGAATAAAAACAGCACCTTAAAGAGACAGAGTCTCTCACAGTTCATGATTTGGCAGTTCGTGAAAAAGCAAAATCCTGCATCAGGCTTCATTGGCACAACATTCATCTTAGAAAAAGGTCCTAGATTAGATGTCTCACTTTTAAAACATCCTTTTATGCTTTATCTTTTGAAATTGGGCTGTGGGTTGAGGGTTCAGACTGGCTTTCACTGTGTGGCTGTGTGAGACACACTCACAGTGCTTTGAGCTCAACCTGGTTGACGGCAAGCCTTTTGGAGGACTTAGTGTTTACGTGAACCCTTTTAAAAACCACGTAAAACGCGTTGGTATGAACATCAAACATAAGCTGCTTTGCCGCTGGTCGTATTATTGTGTGATCAAAGTGAATTATGTCTGCCTACAGTCATTATGACATCAAAATGTTAGCTCCCAGGATTGTTAAGAAATATAAACAGGTGGCAAAGTAGCTGAAGCATCCTACAATTGGAAGAAAAAGTGTAATTTTTCCTTATGTCAGCAAGAACATGTCTTTCAATACAGACTGTAGGACAACTGACAGTCTGCTTTTCACCAAAGAACTAGTTTTCCTAGATTTACTGTTTCCACATAACAAAATAGAGTTGTTTCACTACAGTGGTGTAGATGGACAAAACATACAGAATAGCAGAGGAGTCGCTTTGTGTTTTTTATTCTTAACTGTAAATCGAGTCAATCTATGGATCATATTGTCTCCTTGCTAACTATTTCATAGTTATGTTCCAGTCAGGCTTCTAGAATCTGGGCATGCTTTTGTCGACCCGAAACCAGCAGAACTTACTGTAGAAGCCAGGTTTGAAACACTTTCTCATACATGTTCAATGAGTGGATGAGTCCAAACCCTGATAGCGTATATACCAGCATGATGTCCTGATGTATATACAAAAGGCTCATCAGAAATAGTCCACATCTCCACAAAGTTATATTTCAAGATAGGGAAACGGGGAGAAGAGCACTGAGCTATGCCAAATGAATCAGGAAGTGGACTGAAAGTTGGTCACAGCAGGTCTGATGGAGGGATGAATCCCACTCAACATTACTGAGTTAGTATGAGATAATCTTGACAGACAACTGAACACAAAGGCAGCTAACTTACCAAAGCTCCTTAAGATGACTTAAAAGAATTGACCAGAAACACATCAGAAACGTGTATGTTGAAGGTTATTAGTTGAATTTCCATTTAGGTCGGCATGTTGAAATAAATCCCTGCCTCCACTTCCTATTTTCCTGACAATCCATTAATTAGAGGTTGCTGCAGACATGAGAGCAAATCTCAAATGTAAGAAGGATCTTTGAATTCTTTGATTAAGGAACACAAAGTTCTAGCTCTGGAAAATGTTCTACATTTGATACAAAGGGAAACTTCAGAAGTAAAATAGGCTTTAATTACTTTAGGGTATTGCTCTGTGTTCTTGTTTCAACATCACACCAGAGTGGCAGCAGGGGCTTTCTCCCCAAAGACGGACATCTGCCAAATGATGGCTCTCCCTCATTAGATCCATGTAGGATCCCTTAAGATTGCTTTAAGAAATTCAACTCTTTGTTCATTTTTCTACTCTTTGTGAAAGCACAGAAAAAAAAGCACCTCCATTTAATTTATTCTCATTTTTAAAATCCCCTAGGTTTACTTCTTGTTGGGCATTCAATAAAACATGTCTGTTCGGGAAGTTGATTTAGCAGTAATACTTTTTAATACAGCAAATGGAGGGGAGAATGATAAGAAAAAGCACATAGAAATATGGTACAAAAAGGAATTTCTTATTCAATAATGTCATTGAAGAGCTTCCTCTTCTTGGACTCTCCGGTCTGTATTTCCTGCCAGTGGGCTCTGCGGTGCACGAAGTGGGAGAGGGCAAACTTAGCCCAAACGTGCCGGGCAAACTGGTCTGATCTCAGCTGGCTCTCACTTGGAACTGGGGGAGGAGGACAGACAGTGGGGGGGGGGGTTAGGTCGTGAGGGGTGAGGTGAGCCGGGGGAAATGTGTGATTCGGTGCAGAAGCGATTGGCATCTGTGCTCGTTACCTAGTTCCTGTGCGATGTTTTGCCTCTGACTGACCGAAGCGCTGCTCCAAACGGCCTCCAGGACCCGGCTGCCCAACCTTGAGCAGGCCATTTGGACATACTGCCCCTGGGGGTTGGACACACACATATGTACACTTTTTAAAAAAAAACAACAACTTTGAAATAAAAAAAATCCAAACAAGCAGTGTGAAGCTCCGTGTACCTCCAGTCTCTTGAGGATCTTGCCTCGGCCTTTATCGCTGGACGTGGTGACCAGCGCCTGGAGGACGTGGCTGCCAGCGGCGTCTGAAGCCAGGGTGAGGAGGTCGGGGGGGGTCAGGGCGCGTAGGCTGCTGAGGAGCAGGGAGCGCTCCTTGAACTTAGCCAGAGCCTGGACCAGCCGGGAGCCGTGGTAACAGATGGCGGTCAGCGGTATCTAAAAAAAACAAACAAAAAAACCCAAAACAAACAACATAAACAGGAGGTGAATCTTTGAATTTTCACCGTGAAACTTTCTCAGTGCTGTGCTGGACGGCTAAAGGGGCTGAAGGGCGGTTGGGCTGCTTACCTCTGTGTTCGTGGAGCCCTCTGCTGTCTCGCAGTGGTAGTACACCTCATAGGTGAGCAGCGACATGAACAGAGGGAGGCAGGTGTCGTGTCGGGAGCCGGGCTCGGCGCAGTGGAAGGCCTGAGGACAGCACGGTGCATCTTTCAGCTTTACGGTTCACTGCGTAAGGGGCCAAAACGTCCCCGTTGGTCTTTAGTTCTCTGCTCCAGGAGCCTTGTGGTCACTCCGGATGAGACCTTACAAACCTCAGATAAGCTGCAGTGCTCTCTTCAGAGAAAAGAGGTTTTGTCCAGCTATAATCAGTGTTTTTTTAATGATCCTGCCACGAACCCAAGCATCTAACATCTGATGCCCATTCACCTGAGTCAGTAATAACCTCATTCTAAACCAGCCGGGCTTTCCGTCTCATAATAATAAATAAAAATGGAGATAGAGATACAAGTTTGGGTTTCGTGCCGCATTGCTGTTGGAGGCTTACGCGCAGGAGGCACTGCATCATCTCGTCCTGCTTCTGTCCACTCTCCGCACAGCTTTCTGCCAGCTGGACGATCACGCCCATGTGACCCGCCGCCAAGATGGCCTCCACGCCTTGGACCAGCTCGTCAAACAACGTGAGGAACTGCAAAAGCGGGAACAGAAGGGAAGCGGTGGAGGGAACGCCCGTCAGCCACAGCCCTCTGGCCCCTCTGGCCCCTCTGGCCAGCCCCCGGGGTCGACTTACCGATTTGTACTTGGTCAGAGCCGCCGTTAGCCTCTGTATGGGGAAGTTGGCGATGGGGTGGAGGGCCAGGTCCACCACGTGGCCCTTCAGGTGGTTCTTATACAGGTCCCGGAGAAGGGCCTTGGGGGACAGCTGCAGGATGGTCTCTATGAGGCGACTGGAGGCCTGGTCCTTCAGGAAAACCAGGATGGGACTGCAGGGTGGGGCCGAAAAAACAAAAGCCAGCATGGAATAGAGATTCTTTCCCGGTTAGCTTCAGGGCGACGGTGAAGCTAAAGCTGTGCGGACCTGACTCCCGGGGCGGCGCTGCGGCTGGTCAGGTACTCCACGCTGCGCCGGAGGAGCTGCCTGCAGAGTTTGGGCCGTTTGCGGTCACTCACGGTCAGCATGGTCTGGAAAACGGCGCTGGCCACGGCGTCCGTGACGCTGACTGCAGAGAGAGAGCACGCGTTCTGTTTTCACTTTCGGGCAGTTTGAAGGCGGGCGGCCGCAAAAGAGGAGAACAGAGCAGCATGTGGCAGGCACAGGCTGAAGATGTTCTCATCAAAGCTCCTCAGTGGATAGAAGGAGCAGCTGAATAAATTCATATTGAGGGCAGACAGAGTTCAAAACAGCGTTTCTTTTTGGCAGGCAGCTCAACTAAAAGCCACTTACTGTCCTCTGAAGAGTTTTCCTCCCCCCCTTCGGCTATTTATTGACTAATTCATTTTGTTCCATATTAGAACGGCAAGATTGGATTTACCATAGAAATGCTAAACGAAAGTCTATTATCATTTGTCTGCTCAATTCAAAAGTCTTCCCTCTGGCACTTTCCCCTTTGGCGCTGCTGTGAAAGGCCTGGTTTTTAATGTTTTTTTATCCCTCATTTAACAAACTTCCCATACATACATATATATATACAGCAGTTTATACATATTATTTATATATATTTATATAAAAATAAATCGATGGATACAAATGATATCCATCATGTATATGACACCCTCACCCCTCACCAATGACGTCCTGATTCTGCAGGTTTATGCATATGTTGCTGAAATTTCAAATAAGATTTCTGTACACATTTAAATTGACCCGTGAATAAACGTGAACTTTCCAATTTTCCACAAAACGAGCCTCATTTATTCCACAAATATCCAACTGAGTTGTCTGGGGAAAAGCAAAAGGGAAACCTTTGTCTTTGCAGCGCTACGATTTACCCCCGTGTGATAGCTCTGACCATGAAAAAGCCCCCCCCCCCCACCGGTCGGGTATAAGACGAGGGCGAATCACGATGAAAGACGACTCACGATTGATGTGTTCCATCAAGGTCTCTGTGAGGCTCTTTAACTCGTACCAGAACGAAGCCGGGATCTCGAAGTCTGTCAGCTGAGGGGGGGCGCGGCACTCCTTGGCACCTAGTTGAAAACAGGGATATCAAAAGGGAAACAAAGGCTTGAATAGGAATCCTAAAATAAACACGCCGCAGGCACAGAGGTCCTGACACAGCCTCAAAGAGGCAGCGCTCAAAGGCCAAAAGATCAAAAGCTTTATTTTCTATGAAATTCTGGATTTTCAAATCCCCTTCCTCTACTATCTGCCGGCCGCTGTGCTGCCCATGAAGTTATTTTAGAGCCTTCAGGGCCGTCCACTCCATGCCAGGCAGCTGTACACACACCCCAGAGGGCATTCTAATGACCAGCCACCAATGCCCCTTCTACAGAGATAGGGAATAATTCTGACTATTCTTTCAGTTAATCAAGAACAATTAACAAGTGAGTACTTGGAGAAAGGTAACAGACTCAGTGGCAAACAAACTTAAGACGCTGGACGACTATTTTATGTTTACTGTTGACCAAATTGGACCATAAAAGAAGGTCAACTTTACCTAAGGCTGAGTGCAAAATCCTCATTTTGCTCAGAAGAATGTGAGATTTAGAATTTATGAAAATTGAGAAAAAACATAATCTAGCATTTATTTTGTATCTTACTAAGATTATTCATAGTTATAATAAGAAGACAGTTCTTTCAGCATGACAGGGAGATTAATCGCTCCTCAAATTAGATCGTGGCATCGTCACCATCTTTGCCTGAGCTGCATTCCAACACAGGAACCTTATGGAATGGTAAGTAGTGTTTTTTGTTTTTTTCAAAGTCCTGTCTGTGTTTGAGCAGCAACAACACGGGTCTAAAAAGAGCGATAGACACTTCATCCTTAAAAAGGCTTCCTGAAGAAGGGCTTTTCTCATCAGACACCACCATTTTACATCCGTCTTCCTGCCTCTGACAGCTTTCAGATCCACCAGGGCTTATAAAAGTCTGCCGACTCCAAATCGTACGGCGGTCGTCAAGGTTTGCACACAAATACGACATTAAGCTCCGGAGTGAATGAGGAGGCACGGCTCTGCCGGTGAAACGGTTAGTGGAGTTATGCCTGGATCTTAAAGTCCTGAGTGAGCGTGTGTGTTCACCTGGAGGGGCCAGGGTGCGGGGGGGTCCCACGCAGCCTCCCAGCACATGCAGAAGCGTGCGCACCACGTGTGAGCCGTGCACGTGTCTGATGAACTCTGCGGCGTTCTCCCGCACCACCCGGCTCAGGAGCAGCACCTGGGCCTCCAGCAGCCCGCTGCCCTCCTCCTCCTCCTCCTCCTCTTCTTCTTCTGTGGTGGAGGACGGATCGGCCTGCGTCGACTCTGCAGCACAAACGCACAGCAGCTCGTTTTCTGCCGTTCCTTCTTAACTCATTGGCTGCCAAAGACGTCTACAGACGTCAATTCAAATACAACCGTCGACTGCCTATGTTTTTCAACGCGAGTGCCTTGGGGGACGATCTGCTAAAGCTGGTCCGTAAATATCGGCTTCTAGACAGAGTATGTAGTAACAAATTGACCCTCTAGGTGGCAGTGCCACTTTTGATGGGAGATGAGCATAGATTGTAAGCAAATAAGAAAAAGGGAACGGTTCGCTATGAGAGAAATGGCACCGGTGAGACACAAGTTGAAGAAGAACGGAATAAGGTAGAAACAAATTTTTTTTCCTGATGAAAGAAAAGAGTCTACTCTTTCTTTTGGTGTGTTGGGTAGTCATAGCACAAACTATTCTGTGGCTCTTGAAAAATCAGTGAAAATGCTAAAAAAAACTCTGGCAGTATGGGACTCTCTGTTCTGAAAATGGCTGCCAGTCAATGAGTTAAGCTCCAGATGGGGAACAAAAAAAAACTCCTAGATGCCACCCTACCCATCCATCTGGATGTCTGTCCCAGGGCACTCTCCACCACATGCCCCCCGCAGCGGTCGCAGGACACCGCCTTCAGGTCCGAGCCCGACTCGCCCCCCAGCTCGGCCAGAACCCGGCCCACCTGGTCCGGGCTGGACAGGGGGAGCAGGCGCTGGAGGGTGATGCTCCCCGTTCGGTCCGTCGCCACCAGGCTGGCTTTGCCCTTTACCTCCATCAGGACGTTCTCCACAAACATCTCTGGAGAAAAAGATCCATTCGACAGCAAATGTGATGCAAGTGGCAGGAAAAAAACCCAAAAGGAGGACTGAATAATAGAATTTGGGGTTCTTATTTAGACTGCATTTCATTAATGAAATTTAAATTCCATCCTTTTTTCCCCCTTTTCTTTCACCATCAGGATTATTAATGGATCTGGAGGAGATGTCCTCCCATGCGTGGAGAGGATCCACCCCCCCTTACCTCTTTCCTCTCCATCATCGAAGCCCTCACTGAGTCGATCCCCCACTCGGCGGAAATAACCCACACTCAGAGCATCCAGCCGCTGCGGGCCGCCGTCCCCCACGTTCTTCTGGCCTTCTTCAGCTCTCCTCCTCCTCTTACCTCCTCCTCCCTCTCCTTCGTTACTGGGGGGCTTCCTCTTCTTCACCCCCCCTTTCTGGAGCTTCTTTCCCTCCTCTTTGGACAGCATGTCTTCAGCCTGAACAGGTGCATATCAAAAGAGCAGTTCTGGAGTGGGATCACTTAACAGTAACTCAGTCAACAGGGTTTTAGTCAACCCAAATATGCTGCCACTAAAAACAGAAAATAGCCAATTACACATAGAGAAGGCACTCATCCTTGGTTCTTAACTGGCATATGTATATAAGTTTATACATTTGCAGAAAAATATACTTTAAATTGGCTCAGCGTATTTGCCTTTTTTTTCGGCCAACTCAGAAAAACAAGTAGAAACTTTGGCTTGTGGGAATGTTTACCAGTTCGATCACATGAACGCCCCTAGCTAAGGGTTATCACTGCTACACATAACAAATATCACACAGAAACTCCAGCTCGGCTCAACGCCTCCGTATCTTCTACCGAAACAAACATAAGCTGTCAGAAAACCCCAAAACAAAGGTTTATTCGATCAGTCAATTAAAAATATCCCATATTCAACCTCAATTTTGTGGAAAATGAAATGGTATTTGACTCACGTGTGGGACTTGTGGGGCTAAAGGACGCGGTGTTTTGCTGTCGCCTGATGATGACGTATTACCGGAAGTTTTTTTTCATCTTCGCTTTCTGAAATACAAAGAAAGTTAACAGCAATGTGTGCTTGGTCTGAAGAGATTTGGGGTTAGGGTTAGGGTTAGGGAAGAAAGAGAGAAAGGGAGGAAGAAAGAAAGGGAGAAAGAAAGAAAGAAAGAAAGAAAGAAGGAAAAATAGATAGATAGATAGATAGATAGATAGATAGATAGATAGATAGATAGATAGATAGATAGATAGATAGATAGATAGATAGATAGATAGATAGATAGATAGATAGATAGATAG